GCTCTCCATAAGCCTGCCAGAGTGTTCTTTCCTGTCTTGTACTTACAGAGGACCTAGAGGTTCACTGGTTTGGAAAATAAAGAGTCAATATTTTAAGATGTTTTTATATTGTCCTTGTTTGTAACAAAGTTCATTTATATATAAAACTAATACATCTCTAGAAAGACACCACACAAACTAAGCTAATATTGCAATTTACGGATAATTCAGAAATCCAGATATCAAAACTCTACCATCAATAAAGTACAAACATTTAGCCACTGATGATTATTGGCCTAACCCGCCATAGAATACATAACAGATATTAGAAGATACATAAGAAAATACTTTCAAGTGGCATTAGTAGAAGAAGGTGTTTGTTGTAGTGGGAAAAAAAAAATACACTTTAGGGAAGAATCTGAGATGTTTCCAAAAGAAGATTTTTTCTTTTTTTTTGAGACAGTCTCACTTTGTTACCCACCATAGAGTGCCATGGTGTCATAGCTCACAGCAACCTTAAATTTAAAACTCTTGGACTTAAACTATTCTCTTGCCTCAGTCTCCCAAGTCGCCGGCACTACAAATACCTACCACATGCTCAACTATTTTTTTAGAGATGGGGTCTCACTCTTGCTCAGGCTGGTCTCAAACGCGTGAGCTCAGGCAATCCACCTGCCTCAGCCTCCCAGAGTGCTAGGATTAGAGGCGTGGGCCACCTCGCCCTGCCTCCAAAAGAAGATTCTTAAAAAACACTTCAAAGCCCTTCGGGAAACTCAATTCTATATAAAAAGCTCGACAACCTGCTCACGTACAGGATACACACACTGTGAAGGTTTGAGAGATTATGACTAATTATATGGAAGTAAGGACGTTGAGTAACTTTTTGTACAGTATCCAAATTACTGAAACAGAGTGATTTTATTTTCCAAGTGTTAAGCCATCCCCACAGGAAACAAGCAGGGCTATTCTACCCTAGCTAAGAGCCTTAGCTAGTCATGCATTCTGCAACAAGTCTCCATGGCAAATTTCCTAACACATACTTTTAAACACAAAGAACTCCTCTCCTCCAAGTGAGTGGTAATAAATAGGCTTGTGCAACTTCAACTACAACGATATTCAGCTGCTCCTGGGATCTTTCTATGTGAGGATCATAACCTCATTATCACCTTGCCATCTTAAAATTGTGTGAAAACAAAAAAATCATAGAACTTCTGGAAGCAAGAAATAGACTTAGAGATAATCTTGTGAATCTAATTGCTTCGTTTTTCAGATGAGGAAATCGCCACCAGGACAAAAAAAAAAAAAAAAAAAAAAGTGGAATGACTTGCTCAAGGCCACACAATTACTCAGTGGCACAGTAAAGGCTGTGATTAAGTGCTCAGATCCACCACTCTCTTCACAAAGCCACACAAGTAGTCTTTTTTTTTCTCTTTTTTTTGCAGTTTTTGGCTGGGACTGGGTTTGAACCTGCCACCTCCAGCATATGGGGCCGGCTCCCTACTCCTTGAGCCACAGGCGCCACCCCACACAAGTAGTCTTTACAAATCTTATAACCACATGCCAGACATAATCTAGGATATGAAAATTTGTGCTTTGGACCTACATTTCTCAAATTTTGTAGCAATAACATACTAGAAAGTCCTCATTAGTACAATGGTTTAAAAACACACACACCCCCCACCAGAGGGCTCAGGTCCATATTCCTCTCCCCAGGACTTCTCTTTCTCCCTCAATCTTGGAATGTAGGTGATTAAGAGTCACCTTGTTAGCACTAATATGGGAATAACCTTGAATCCTTTCAATAAAATAAACTTTGGAATTTTAGTATTCGTAAGATTTCCGCCTTTAACACCTCAGGGTACACTGTGACAAGCCTGTGCATTGTGATACACGATTGAAAACTGCTGTTTAAAAACATAGTAACCACAGGTGCAGCAAGTGACCTGAACACGGGTATACCATCAGCAATACTGAGGATTACACTTGACTCTGTCCCCACACTCTGGTAAAGTGACTTTCAACAGGAAATAGAAATGGTTAAACAAGTTTAAACGAGCCTGAAGGAGAAGGTATCCTTTCTCTGGGGCCTTCTCAAATCTGGACTAAAGGCTAAATGCTGAGAAAGCTCAATGTGACAATCCCACGTGGGAGTGGTATCTGAATCCCAAGCTCCAGTTCTGCTCCTCACTGGGGCCTGGCATCTAAGTGCCTCCTATTTCCAGGCTGTGTGGACTCCTGAGTGAAATAGAATCCCTGGTCTTTGTCAGTCTCAGGGTCTCTATAAGTAAGATGTACATATCCCCAAGACAGGTGGAAAATACTATCACTGGACAAGCCACTGAAGAATAAGAAGGATATAAAGAACCCTGATTAATAATTATACTCTTGCTTGCAGTCCTGGTAAGGAGGCTGAGGCAGGAGGATTGCTTGAACCCAGGAATTTGAGGTTACTGTGAGCTAGGCTGAGGCCATGGCACTCTAGCCTAGAAATGGTTAAACAAGTTTAACGAGCCTGAAGGAGAAGGTATCCTTTCTCTGGGGCCTTCTCAAATCTGGACTAAAGGCTAAATGCTGAGAAAGCTGAATGCGACAATCCCACATGGGAACAGAGTTAAGACTGCCTCAAAAAAGAAAAAAAATTATACTCTCATCTTTCTAACTTCTAATTTTGTGTTTGTAATTTCATGTATAGCTAAATAGGCTGTGGGACACATTCTCCAGAAATTAGGACTAGGTGTATGAAAGCTTAGGGACCACAGTCTAGTCTCTCCATCTGCTGAGTATGGCTCAGGGAGGCAGATTGGAAGTACTGAGAAAGATACCCAAGTGATTCTAAGGTCCTCCAACATCAAATGGAGTGTACAGACTCACAGAAACGGCCTCTCTTCATAGGCTTTTGAGAATCATGGGACAAGCTGGTTTGCAAATATACTATCCTTGAAAGCCCCTTTGGAGAGGATGATCATATATGCTATTTGGGGAAGGGGTGTGAAATGAGTACTCAGATGAAATAAGGTGTTAACAGACTATACAGTCCCTCTACCTACTGGTCATCTGTACAGGTGGTGAGCAGACAGAACACATTTGCTCGCCCCTGCAGCTCAGAAAGTGCTATGATAATGCTAGACACTCACCCAGACCGGTGCTGATTATTTTTCTGCTTCCCAAGCCATGAATAGTAACTTTCCTAGGCCCCAAAGCTGAAGATACAACAGTTCCCTACCTTCAATGAGTTCTATAGGAAGGTGTCTAATGCTAGTCTAGAGAAGAACATGCTCTCATAAAAACGTAGTATTTCTTTGTGATTTTAGGTACTAATGCAAAACAGCCCTTTTTCTTTATAGAGTCTACTTATTAAAATTCAAAGAATCTACGAAACAAGGTCTTTACACAGCTAGGCAAAATAGTAAAATTATGCTTTCCTATGATATGGAGAGTCTTGAAAGAGGGTCATGTAAAGGCATCTTTATAAATTTCCTACAAGTTCCTAGAGAATTTCGGGGAAGAAACAGTCTGGACTCTCCAACCAAGTCGTCTTTCCCTCACTCAACCGGCTCTTGGCTCAACTGCTCCCACTTCATATAACTTTGTGAACAAAATGCTCTAGACTGCAAAGTTAACTATTTTGGTGCAAAGTTCAACTTCACTGCGCTAAAGAAACATGACTTCAAATACAAAACTAATCTGAGACAAGGAAAAAAGGGGAGAGAGGCGCTGCCAGAAGAATGAAACCGGTTCTGAGAGAGCAAGCCTCCAGGCTCACTGTAAGTCTGTCCCAGAGGAGGCCAGGCGAGAACACCTTGCCACCACCCACTTGGAAAAGCAGCGCTGGGGCCTGCATAAAAGGGATTTCTTCACAGGGACTGTTATTCCTTTAAAACTGTCTATTTCTAAGAGGTCCCTTTCAGTAGCTGCAAGGTAAAAGGAAATTCCCTCTACCCAAGGGCCCCTCAGAAGCCCTTCCTCTCTCAAACAGCTCTTTCACTGCTCCTGATTCAATCATTCATTTGGCCACACCACACAAGAAGGAAGAACAAGCGCACACAAGCCGTGCACTCAATTACCCTATTCTTCCTCTATTAGTGGCATTTGCCAACACCACCTCCAACACCTATTTCACATTCCCCTTCTCTTCTGAAGGGAAGGTCTAAAACTCTCAGGTCCCTGTTTGAAGAGGGAGATTTTGCAAGTCAGAAACATTTGAGTGACTCTCCCGACCTCAAGCAGCCACAAGGAAAGTTCTGCTGGTTGTTTAAGGCAAGGCAGAGAAGCGCTGCCTACCTGGCGCCCTGGGCTGGTCACAGGCTCTGGCACTCTGCTTCTGTCCCAGCATCCTGTACCTCAGTCAGGGCAGCGTGCCTTCTTCAGAAGCCCTCAGTGAGTTAGAGTATTTCACCGAGGAGCCTATAATTCGCCCTTGTTTTCTCCAACTCTCCTGCGTGCCCCAGAACCCTGGCGTTCGTTGGTGATGGGTCTAGAGTGGAATTGGGCCGAAGTGCCAAGTCGCACTACCTGGCTGGGGCCAATCTGGAAAAAGATTCGCCCCGACTGAGGTACAGGTGTTTCTTCTGCACACATCCTGGAACCCAGGAGGGTCCAGGTGCTTCCCCACGAAGCGTGCCTCGGTCTGAGACCTAGGCCAAGCTCTCGGCGCCCTCACTCCTGCCAGTGGCTAAACTCTTGCCAGCAGAGCATGGGCCCGCGTGAGAAGGGAAGGTCACGTGAAAAGGCTGCCAGGGGCAAGCGTTTCCAGATTCTTCTCTTCTTGGCCCCAGATGCATCCGGAGTTAGAAGGGTGGGAGTGTACTGGGCCCCCAAAGTCTGGCTACCCGCCTCCCGGACCCTGACTGGAAGAGTTTGGAAAGCCCGCGGCGCGGGGTTGGGTGCCAAGCACCCCACACACACAGGTGACCGGCGTCGCCCCCCTCTCCGGGCCTCCAGAGGGGTGGGGTGGGACTGAACCCTGGCTCCGCCCCCGCAGCGCCCCCCTTGGGTCCCCCAGACCCGGTGCCCGCACTCACAGCGCTTGGGTGAAGGCGCTGAGCCCCTCGGGCACGGCCGTCAGCCCCTTCCCGGAGCAGTCCACCCGACGGTCGCCGTCGCAGCTGCAGGGCGCCGCGCAGAGAGGCGGCGCCGCGCCGCTGGGCCCGGCCGAGCCGAGCAGCCCCAGGGCGAGGAGGCAGAGCAGCCCCAGCGGGCCCGGCATTGCTGCGGCCGCCTCCCGCGCAGGCCTCTCCCGCGGCGCCGCTCGCTCTGCGCGCCTCCGCTGCCCTCCGACGCCCCCCGCCGCCCCCGGGCAGCCGGCCTGCGGGCTGGGGCGGGGGCTCCTGTCCCTCGGCGGTCCGCGCGGGCTTGGCCCCTTCAGCAGTGCGCCGCAGCAGCAAAGGGACGCGGCGCTCCGGAGTTTCGCCCTTCCCGCTGCTCCATGGAAGCGCAGAGGCAGCCCCGCTCCTCTGGCAGCTCAGGCCAGCCCGGCCGGCCCGGCGCGGCTGCGGGGGCCGCGCTCTGCCATCGCACCCGCCTCGCTGCCCCCGGCCTCACGCCGCAGCCGCTCTTCAAGGTTGCGGAGCGCAGCCTTCAGCCATGCCGGCCCCTTGCCGCAGCCACAGCCCCGGCTCTCGCACAAACACCCAGACTCTCGCTCGCTCTCGCCCTGCAGCGACTCAGGCTCTTCCCGTCCTTTCCCTTCTAGGGTTGCACGCTCGGGTTCTCAAGCCCCCGGCCGCTGGGTTATGCAAATCGCTTAGGTACATGCAAAACTAACCCTTCTCCCGGAGCGCCATTGGCCCAGGGAGGTCTCGAGCTCATTACTATGCAGGCAGGGGAGCCGCCATTGGCCAAGAGTGCGGCCAGAGGGGCGTGCTTCTCGGGCGTGAGTGACAAGGTGGTGGTTGTGGCGGTGGTGGTTCAAGGCAAAATCCCTGACTTGGCTGAATTTGCGTGGCAGGTTGCGGATTGAAGGTACAAGAAGCACAGGAAAATGAGGAGGCTGGTTTTTCCCTCTTCCACCCGTCTTTTTCTTCCTCTACATAAATTGGATCTCCTAAATTGGATGATCTGAAAAGTAAAACTTGCCTCCAGCGTTCAGTTAAATTTTAAATGACTTTCCGCGGTTCCAAAGGGTGAGGATGTTGGGAGCAGTGCAAACAGGGGGAAAAAATTGAAGGGAAAGAGGAAAGTTTCCCTCAATGTGACACAAATCTTTGGGGTTTCAGCTATATTCTAAATTACAAGCGTACCCCCTCTAATGACTCGCTTTACCTGGAATCTTGGTACTCATCTTGACATACCCCTGGTGGCTTAATCTTAAATTGATACAGAGAGGGGTTTGATGGCCGCAAATCAGACTGCTTTCTCATACACTTTAAAACCCTGAAACACACAGGGATGTTGTAAGGGTCAAAGGAGGTGGTATTTCTGAACAGTGGACAATTTCTCCACACAGCAAAACATTCGAATGGGAAGTGACTACCTCTGAGAGGCCAACGCCAGCTGCAGCCTTGGTGTTAGGTAATTACCAGCATTCCCTCTTCTGGACTTTGAGTCCCTATGGTCTAACAGACCACAAAGAATCATTATCTATACCAATTACTGCTGTATGGCCAGCTCCTTTCTTGCTTTCTGCTGTGCCATTAGCTTGTCCTACTCTATCGTGGAGACATTCTTATAAATAAATTAAAGCAAGCAGGGTTGGAAATTGTCACCATCATCTAAAATTACCTAGTTGTCTCATATAAATAAAATTCATTAAAAAATCGGAAGCAAGGTAATCACATGTATAAAATTAAAAATTTCCATCACCTTTGTATGTAGTTTATACTAAAAATAATGGGAAGTTGGCACATAACTAACATATTAATACCACACATTTATCTACGTGATAGAAAGTCAATAAATACAGACATGCTTTCACTTCACATATTTCCTCTTGGAGTGGAAAGACAATTTAAAGATAGTTGGACAACCCTCTGGTTTTATAGATAAAAAATCTGAAACTCTCAGATGTTTTACTCTGCCCAACATGGCCACAGAGCAGTTCCCAGGCTCCTGGATTCTTGTTTGGTGCTCTCAGATTCTTCCCTAAATAAGCTTTCACTGTCTAAATCATTTCTATTTTTTTCTAGCAACTGTCATAAGCAAATGAAATGGGCAAAAATTATAAAGTTAGTTTCTCTAATCGATGCCTTTAAGATCACTTTTAACACTAAAAGATGACAGAATTTTCCTTGCCCAAATATCACTTTCTCCTGCTCTTTTTAAGATGATAAACTATCTCGATTAATTTTATTTCTGCCAAATAACACATTCCCTTTCTTTCACAGTGGTGGTTTTCAAAATTAACCAGGCGTTGTGGTGGGTGCCTGTAGTCCCAGCTACTCATGGGAGGCTAAGGCAAGAGAATCACTTAAGCCCAAGAGTTTGAGGTTGCTGTGAGCTGTGATGCCATAGCACTCTACCCAGGGCAACATAATGAGACTCTGTCTCAAAAAGATAAATAAATAAGTAAATAAATAAATGTGGTTGAAGATCCCTTTGCAGCCCTCTCAATCATATTCCTTTCCTTCTTTCTCTCCCTGAGAAATGCTTTCCTAAACTTTATAATTATTCCCATGTGTGTGTTCATGTTCTTTGTATGTGTATATCCCTATATGAGATACACTTTGGGGTATATAAATAATATTCTGTACTATTTTTCAACTTGCTTCTTTCACTCAACCTGTGAGCTTTATCCCTGTTCATGAAATAGGTGGCTATTGTTAAATTATTTTCATTACCGTATAGAATTCCTTCAGTAAAATATACACAATATGTTAGAATTCTCTAGAGAGCAGAACCAATAGGATGGATGGATGGATGGATAGATAGAAAGATGGATAGATAGATAGAAAGGGATTTATCATGATTATCATGTGATTATGAAAGACAACTGTTACAACCTGCCATCTGCAAGTTGAAGGGCCAGGAAAGCTGGTGGTTTAATTCCTGTCCAAATCCAAAGTCCTGAAAACCAGGAGAGCCAATAGTATATGTTTCAGTCAAGTGTAAATATTCAAGAACCAGGAACACCAAAGTTCAAGGGCTGGAGAGGATGGATGTCCCAGCTCAAGCAGAAAGAGCAAATGTGCCCTTCATCACCTTTTTTTTTTTTTTTTTTTATGTATTCAGGCTTCAGCAGATTGGATGCTGACCTCTTGGATTAATGAGAACATCTTTTTAACTCAATCTACAGATTCAACTCTCTTCTAGAAACATCCTTCTAGACACCACAGACATGTTTTTCCAGATGTCCCGGAATCCTTTGCCCAGTCAAGTTGACACATAAAATTAACCATCACACCCACTATTTATTTATCTATCCTCTCAGTTAACATTAAGTTTATTTGTATTTTTTCCCATAACAATGCAATTGTGAATGTGCTTGTCTATGTTTCTTTGTTCGAATATGGAAGAGTTTCTCTAAAATGTGTATATTTTTCTGTGTGTGTAGAATGTCTGGGTCATGGATTACATGAATTCACTGTTATTAAATGTTGCTCAGTTGTCCTCAATAGTGGCTGTACTTAGACTTCCCTCAGCAAAGAATAAAAATCCCCATTATTCTATATCTTATCAATGCCCGATATTGTAAGAATTAAATATTTGCAAATCTAATGCATATGAAATGAAATCTCAGTGTGACTTAAATTCAGTTTCCCTGATTATAATTGAATCTTTTCATTATTTATTGGACATTCCAGTGTAGTCTTCTATGCATTGTCTATTCATTCATTTCCTTTACCTGTTTTCTGTTGGGTTGTTCATATGCTTTTATTGTGGGGATCAGCAAACTTTTTCTGGTATGGGCCAGATAGTAAATATTGTGGGCTTTGGGGGCAGCTGGTCGCAACTATTCACCTCTGCCATTGTAGCATGAAAACAAAGGGACAGGGATGTGTTCCAATGAGGCATTTTTGATAAAGAACAAGTGTTAGACTCATTCTGGCCCATGGGCCATAGTTTGGCAAGCCTACTTTATAGGATGCTAATCTTTTCATGAAATTCAGTGATTATTTTTGAAAACAATGTACAGGATTATAAAAATTCAGAGGAACACACCTCAAAGGAGACCATCTTTTCTTGTAAATTGAAATCAAGCACTGTCAAAAATTCTGGGCTCCACAGTGAGCTCATGGTAAAAAGCCAAGAAGAACCCATTGCAAGCTTACAAGTGGTTTTTTTTTTTTTTTAATGGCTCAGAGATAGTCCTGGACACTTAGAATTTACCTCACCCTTTATCCAAAAGGAACTCCAAATATTTGGGGCCAGATATAATCATATATCCTGTGAGAAATAGCTATTGAGTTTAAATAAAACATAGGGGCCTGAAGTTGGAAGCTGAATATGTCCATTAAAGCTATACACATTTCTATCTGTATCTATAGATATATAATACATATATACAGAGGGTGACAAAAAATGTATAACATTTTAAGAAAGGAAAAAATCTGTATTAAAATTGTAATATTGAGTCACATTTGGCTTATGCAATCATAAGAGGTGCTCAAACGTGACTTGTATTCACCTTTTGTTATCGGTGTACATTGAGTATTACAATTTTTCTTAAAATGTGTACACTTTTTTTGCCACTGTCTGTGTATATATATGTATATATACATACATGTACATATACATAAACATTTCAAGTTGTGATAGATTCAGGGATTACACTAGATTGCTAAAAAAGGAAAAAAAGAGATTTAGGGAATAGAGAAAGAATATCAGATCTAATCTTGACTGATGAGACATCTGAGATGCATCTACTCTAACCATGGAATCTTCAGGATGACTGCTGTTTCCACCATCCATTGACACTGGATTGATTGTTTCTGTGCTCTGATGCCTCTACATTTGCATTTGGGGCTTTGGGATGGAGGAGCTTACACATTAGGGCCCAGAGGCTTGCAGTCATTCTCATGATCTTAAATAAGGTGCTTTTAGTCACTGGTCCTTTAGTCCTGTGTCTCAACATCCCCAGAGGGTCCTGTTCTGTACAGGATACAGCATCTAATTTTTAGTACTAACTTAAAATTATACTGAAGCAGCAAAAATTAATGTAAAATTGTTGACAACTTAAAAGCATCTTTTAAGCGATCTATGTGGCTGAATTTGGGCCTCTGGGCCCCCTTTACCTGGAGTTCAGGCCAGGGTTAATGATGGCTGAGAACGGCATATGTCACCCATGCAGAACTGATTGGTCCTGGCGACCGGAGAGCTGGTAATAAGGCTTCTGGCTGAAGGCCGTTCTTAAAGCCGGTCCTTTTTCATAACATCATCCAAAAAAAGTCTCTTAGTCTCCTGACTTAGCTGGATATCCTGGCATCAGATGTCCTTTTCAGCATTTCTGAAGACCCATGTTGGCCCCAAATTTCAAAACATTTGGGTAAATATTGGAAATATTTTCTTATTCGTACTTAATCTTTTCTAAATCAGATTTTCCTTTCCTTCCTTCCTTCCTTCCTTCCTTCCTTTCTTTCTTTTTGAAGTCAGAGTCTCTCTCTGTTGCTTTAGTTAGAGTACCATGGTGTCATAGCTCACAGCAACCTCAAGGGATCCTCTTGCCTCACTCTCATGAGTAGCTGGGACTATAGGTGCCTATCACAAAGCCTGGTTAATTTTTCTATTTTTGGTAGATATGGTGTCTCACTCTTGCTCAGGCTGGTCTTGAACTTCTGAGTTCAAGCAATGTAC